GCTCTTTTGTCTTGTTGGCCCAGAAAGACTGACGCGGCCAAAACAAGAGTGTCTGATCACAGCCGTCCATTACAAGAGTCCATGAGGGATTCATCAATGAGATCAGATGTTGGCAAATGGCTTTCACAAAAAGAGTTTTGGTCAATACGTTTTGGCCTCATGTTATCATTGAAAGCATGCGTGTTATGGTTATGGATAATTTTGTAACCTGTACACTGTCAAGTCATTTGCACAGAGGAGTGTGTTAGATGTATTTGGAAATAGCATTCAGGAACATATTCAAATCCTAGTCATTAAAAACAAAACCTATAAAAAGAAAACAAACATTGAGGATAGTTTACAAGATATGCTTTTGAAAATCAGCAGGTTAGAACGTATTGGAAGAGCATGCATTCATTATCTCTCTCTTCTTTCTGAAGTTGATACTCCTTCATATCCTGATCTTCTCCTCCAATCATAACCGGATTTCTGTCTTTATGACAGCGACCAGACTGAAAGAGAAATAAAGAGCAGGGTTCGAATTAGTTTAAAATTAATATACTTTCATTAAACTGCTATGTATTTAATAATAATCAAATAAATTCTTCAAACTCTTAAATCGCAGGGCCTGCATCTCATGATAAAGCTCTCATTTTGTACAACTGCCGCCCATGTAAGGGAGTTAAAGAGGCTGTGAACACTTTGATACTTACTGATAATGATGACAATAATGATCAAAACCACAGCTATCAAAATGGCCCACATCTGTAAAGACAACAAACAAATACACTTTGTCATATGATGCCTTAAGTTCAAATGTTATCAATTTTTTTGATTAATCTTGATAGGGATAGCATTTTATTTCATCTTGATTTTTCACAACTTGTGTGCTTGTCCTGGGTGAGTTGAAGTGAACTGTGGCGCTATAAGAGTTTCATTAAAGTGAAGTCGTACACCGAGACAAACGGCCAAGTCAAGATTTTCCTTTAATAACGTTAAATTTCCATTTGTTTCTCACAAAACCCTATTGTATACCCGCACAACATTTGGAATACAGCACATGTTGCATGGGACTACTCTGCGATACTTTTGCGCCTTTTTATATTTTTGGTATAGAAATATTTTTTCTTGTTTTTTTTAAATGTAAATGCAATGACCTTTAGCCAATTCAATAGGCTTAAAATGTCTTATTTTTAAATATATTTCTTAATATGACCTTTTGTAAGCACAAAAACTAATCTCAATGTATTTTAACAATAAGATATGAAATTATCAGTTGCATAATAATGTCTTTGTTTTTGCATATGAGCTCATGGGAAACTAAGGAGATGTTATATTACAGAGTTATATTATAGTTAAATGTTATACTTATATTACAGATGCACAAAGAACAAAAAAAAAAAAAGGGACCAAATTTTCTGGAAAATACCCAATCATCTCTGAAGTCTTCATATTTAAAGAATGGATTTAAACCAAATGAGATATGAGAAAAATGACATGGTCCCTCGTGTGCATCTTTGTCTTACCTTGCAGTTCTTCCACCAGTATTTCCTCTTGAGTTTGGCAGCGCTGGTCTCAAACTGGGAAGCACCGGCCTGCAGGGCATCGGCACGATCGTCTAACTCGGACAGCTTCTGGTCTCGTTCCAGGACCTTATCGACATTCACTCTCATGATGTCCACCACCTAGAGGAACGAGAGGATTCCCGTTACAGGATTCTGGAAAAGTGCTGGAAAAGTAATCAAGGTGAAGGAATCGTGCCATGCGTGTAAACAAACAGCTGTCTGAACATCGGTGCAGGTTTATTAATCGGTTTAACTATGTGAGACTTTTGGCAGGATGGCTGGAGACTTCTTAAATCCAGACAGGCAGCAGGAACATGTAATTTAATGGTCAGCATTTTAAACTAACATCACTGAGAGAAACACAGCATCACAACCTGATAGAACACGTTTCCACCAACAGTTGTCTGTTCGCACTGCAAGCAAAAATGCTACGGGACACAACAAAATCACAGCAAATCTTATCATATTTGATATAAAGTAGGATAGAGTAGATAGACTTTGGACCAATGAGATTTCATAGAACTAGGGCTGCCACTAACGACTATTTTTATTTCGATTA